AAAAAAAAAAAAAAGAGATTCATAGCAATCCATTGGAAGGGGCCCAGTCCCTTTTGTTTTAATCCTATAAGGAAAGTAACTTTGTAAAAACCAGTCTGCTCTTTGTTCCTTGTTTCTGCTTCCTTCAGCCTTCTTCTGCCTATAAAGTCCATCTCCTCTGTTCAGCTCATCAGAGTACCTTTCTAAATCTTTACATGGGATGCTGTCCAATAAAGGAATTGATAATAAAGGCCAATTAAATCTTTAAACTAAATTTGTGGAAATTTCATTTTTTAACAACTATATTATCAATTAAAACAAATGTAAATATTTGATAGCAACAATGTCATAATCCTTAATCTCATGATCCTGCTAACACCAATTATATTGCTAAAGAAAAATCCTTGGCCAGGCATGCAATCTGATATTAGCAGAAGCTTACCTCATAATGTGTCAATATCATTTGATTTAATAATGTTGAGACTGAATAAAAGGCACCAGTCATGATACCTACAATAATAAAGATGATATTAAGTCATGATACCCAAAATAATAAAGAGAATACTAAAATTTTGTCATTTACCAGTTCATGAAGTGACATGGATTATGTGACAATTGTGAAATATATTTCTTAAGACAGTTGATAAAGGAAATTAAAAACCACTGCCATTCCCTTTCAGGACGTAGACTAATGAATTGAACACTAAATTTACTAAGATAGGGTAGCAGAATTCTGTCCTAACACTATTATTATTTAGATTGAGATAGAGTAACCATAAATCATACCCCCACATACAACACTATATATGGCAACCAGTCAAGCAATGGTTTACTAAATACCTACAGTGTACTACAGCCAACGAATGTGCAAAGCCTAACAAACTGTGTTTCAGAGAGCTTACCTTTTTGTATCAAAGACTTACTGAAAATTCATAAGGTAAAATCAGTTAAAGAATACTTTTTTTTGAGATGGAGCCTTTTTGTTCCCCAGGCTGGAAAGCAGTGGTGTGATCTCAGCTCACTGCAATCTCCGCCTCCTGGGTTCAAGCGATTCTACTGCCTCAGCCTCCTGAAGAATAAATACTTTAAAGTGAACAATAAAAACAGCTGGTTATGAGAACCACAGATAGGTTTGAATCCTGATGTTTCCTAGCATGTATTGTATGAATCTAGGTAAGACTCTTAACATAAATTAAGCTAAGGCTTAAGTTTATTATTTCTCTATTATTAAATATTTTAAGCATACAAAATATTATAGAGAATATAACAAATATCCTCATATATCACTCAGATTTGGCAAACATTAACATTTTTCCATCTTTGCTTCAGATTCATTTTTCAGACTTTTCCCAATCCTATTCTTTCCCAAAGGCAAGCCCTATCTTGAGCTTGGTGTTTATCATTTTTTATATTACCATATATACATATTCATAAATAATTAGAAGTATTCTGCATGTATATAAATATTATTTGTAATGGGACTACAGGCACATGCCACTACGTCTGGCTAATTTTTGTATTTTTTGTAGAGGTGAGGTTTTGGCCACGCTGCCCAGGCTGCAGGTCTCCTTTTATGCCTTTTAATGTTTTATAATTTTCTCTATGAAGTTCTTTCAGTATATTTATTCTAAGAATTCTTTATAGTTTTAGTTGCTATTATAAAAGATATCTTTACATGGAAATACAATTCCTATAAATACATAGGAATGCAACTGATATTTTCACATTGTCAGTTACTTAGTAACTTGGCTAACTCATTAGTTTTAACAGCTGTCTCTAGCTTTTCTTGTCTTATTTTAATAGACGGGCGATCACCAAACATTTTATGTAAAGGACTAGGTAGCAAACCTTTGTTTGCTTTGTAGGACATATGGTTTCTGATGTAACTACTCAACTCTACCCTAGTAGTTCAAAAGCAGCTATAGACAATATATAGACAAATAAAACTTTATTTATAAAAACAGGGAATGGCCAGATTTGGCTCATGGGCCATGGTTTGCTGACCTCTGATATGCAAAATCATATTATGAGCAATAACATCTTTTTTCTTTCTGTTTCGTATACCTTTTATTTCTTTTGTCTTGTGTTACTGAGCTAGCCAGGACCTCCAGTTAGATGCTGAAGTGATGACAGTAAATACCCTTAAGCGATACTTCTTACTGATTCTTAAGGACAATAGCTCTAAAGTTTGTCTTTAGTATAATATTTGTTATAGGGTCTTTGTAGATAAACTTTATCAGGTTCAGAAAGTTCATTTGTTGGCACCTAATTAAACAAAAGAGCTTCTACACAGGGGAAAAAAACCCTATCATCAGAGTAAACAGACAACTTACAGAATGGGAGAACACTTTTCTGACAAAGCTTTAATATCCAGAGTCTACAAGGAACTTAAATTTACAAGAAAAAAACAACCCCATTAAAAAGTGGGCAAAGGACATAAACAACCACTTCTCAAAAGAAGACAATCATGTGGCCAAAAAACATGAAAAAAGCTCCACGTCACTGATAACTAGAGCAATGCAAATCAAAACCACAATGAGATACCATCTCATGCCAGTCAGAATCAAAAAGTAAAGAAACAAGAAGAAACAACAGATGCTGGTGATGGAGCAGAGAAAAAGAAATGCTGTTACACTGCTGGTGGGAGTGTAAATTAGTTCAGCCATTGTGGAAGACAGTGTGACAATTCCCAAGATCTAGAAGCAGAAATATCATCTGACCTAGCAATCCCATTACTGGGTATATACCCAAAGGAATATAAATCATCCTATTATAAAAATACAAACACATGTATGTTCACTGCAGCACTATTCACAATAGTAAAGACATGGAATCAACCCAAATGCCTATCAATAATAGACTGGACAAAGAAAATGTACATTTACACCATGGAATACTATGCAGCCATAAAAAGGAATGAAATCAGGCTGGGTACACTGGCTCATGCCTGTAATCCTAGCACCTTGGCAGGCCGAGGTGGATCACCTGAGATCATGAGTCCGAGACCAGTCTGGCCAACGTGGTGAAACCCCATCTCTATTAGCTGGATACGTTGGCGTGTGCCTGTAATTCCAGCTACTCGGGAGGGTAAGGCAAGAGAATTGCTTGAACCCAGGAGGTGGAGGTTGCAGTGAGCCAAAATCACACCACTGCACTCCAGCCTGGGCAAAAAATCAAGAAACAAAAAAAGCTGAGATTGTAATTAACTTAATCATTTATGCACAGTCAAGTTTTTTTTTTTTTTTTCCCTCAGATGGAGTCTTGCTCTGTCACCCAAGCTGGAGTACAGTGGCACGATCTCAGCTCATTGCAACATCTGCCTCCCAGGTTCAAGAGGTTCTCCTGCCTCAGCCTCCCAAGTAGCAGAGACTACAGGTGCACGCCACCATGCTCAGCTAATTTTTGTATTTTTAGTAGACGTAGGGTCTCGCCATGTTAGCCAGGCTGGTCTTGAACTGGCCTCAAGTGATTCACCTGTCTTGGCCTCCTAAAGTGTTGGGATGAACGGCATGAGCCACTGTGCCCGGCCCCAGTAAGTATTAAGTGATGTGGTATCAAAGAGACCAAAACTCCACAGATACCTGAGTTCACTGAAGGTACCATCTAACGCCCTCTCTGGTGCCATTTTCTTCTTCCCCTTTGACTATTCAAATCCAACCCACTCTTCAAGGCCTAGCTCAAACACTCTCTTCTGTGAGACTCTCCCTGCCATTCCTAGGCCTTCCCTTCATTTATCCTTTCTCAAGGATATATCCTGAAGGCCTTCAGCATGCACTCACAATACAGCTTCCCTTGTGTTGTTATCCTTTTGATAAGTACCAACTATATTGTTGTTTACTTTTCAAATGTTTTTATTATCTCCCCAGTTAGATGATCAATTTCCTATGGGCAGAAATCATCTATCATACCTCTTTCTAGCCACAAGGCATCTAGAGCACCACTATACATTTAGTTGGTATTTGATAACTACTGATGGAATAAATGAATAAAAGAATGAACAGCAAAACGAACAATAAGTTAGGCAAACATTAAGCTAGCTCTTGTAGGATTGCTTATAGAAAAAATTAGCACATAGGCCAGGCATGGTGGCTCATGCTTGTAATCCTAGCACTTTGGGAGGCTGAGGTGGGTGGATTACCTTAGGTTAGGAGTTCAAGACCAGCCTGGCCAACATGGTAAAACCCCGTCTCTACTAAAAAATACAAAAAAATTACAGTGGTGTGCACCTGTAATTTCAGCTACTTGGGAAGCTAAGGAAGGAGAATTGCTTGAACCCCAGACGCAGAGGTTGCAGTGAGTCGAGATCGCGCCACTGCACTCTAGCCAAGGCTACAGAGTAAGACTTTGTCTTCAAAAAAAAAAAAAAAAAAGCACATTTCAGGTAAAAGAAATGTTGGCACAAAATTACAGAAACTAGAATTAACAGTGTATATGAACGTGGAGATGTGTCTGTGTGTATGTGCATGTGTGTGTCTGTGGCGGGGGTTGGTTATAAGTGTGGCTTAAAGAGAATTTTGTATTGGGAAAGTGAGTGACAAAAGAGTGGTCAGAAAAAGGCCTCCTTAAGTGACAGGCAAAAGAAATGAATTTTCTCTACTATTGAACAATAAGCCACTATATTTTCTTACATGTAATTAGGAATTTTAGGTTTAACCTAAACAAGGAGGTAACCAGCAAAATTAAAACAACAAACTGTGGCATGCAAAAGTATTAATATATAAGGATGAGATGATATGACATCTGGGATTTGCTTTAAAATATTCCAGGAAAGGTCAGGCATGGTGGCTCATGCCTGTAATCCCAGGACTTTGGGAGGCCAAGGCAGGTGGATCACCTGAAGTCAGAAGTTTGAGACCAGCCTGGCCAACATGGTAAAACCCCATCTCTACTAAAAATATAAAAAATTAGCTGGGCATGGTGGCAGGTACCTGTAACACCAGGTATTCGGGAGGCTGAGGCAGGCGAATCGCTTGAACATGGGAGGTGGAGGTTGCAATGAGCTGAGATTGTGCCACTGCACTCCAGCTTGGGCAAACAACAGCAAAATTCCATATCAAAAAAAAAAAAAAAAAAAAAATTCCAGGAAAAAAACGAGGGGAAATAGATGAGGCAAGAATGGCAAAATGTTGATAACTATTGAAGCTGGGTGACAGCATACACAGGACATGGGTATACAGGAATTTATTAGATTAAATGCTCAACTTTGGTGACTAGCAGTTTCTACTTTAAAAAAAAATGTGTACCAATGGAGGAATGTCTAAAAAAAAAAAAGGAACTAATCCTGATAGAAATGACTTAAACAGTTACAACTTGTAAAACATGTATGTACTAGGGTGTGTATCCTCAAAAAACGTGAAACAGAGAATAGCAGCCAGTGATTCCCGGAGGCAAGTAAGACAGAAATAGGGAGTGTTGGTGGTTCATGTAAATGGTGTTAACACAAGAAACAAAGAATGAACTGTCAGAAAACTCTGAAAAAAACCAAGTGTGTTGGTGTCTACAGTCAAAGCTACACTGTTAAGATGAATACCTGTCACCTATCCTGAAAGATCTGGAGAGAGGGAATATTCTTAGATGTCAGAGCTGGTTAAGGTGAGTTCCCTAGTGTCTAGTTTTGATTGAGTAGTCAAAACAGATGTCAGCTTGTACAGGGTCAAAGAAAGGTATTATTGATAGCACTTCCCACATGCTTACACCAGTATAACTATAGCTCACAAATGGCCTAAAATACTCTATGAGAACTCACAAAAGAAGACAGCATTTGTCTATTTTGAGAACTACTTTTCTTTTTCTTTTTTTTTTGTTTTTGAGACAGTTTCACTCTGTTGCCCAAGCTGGAGTGCAGTGGCACAATCTTGGCTCACTGCAACCTCCGCCTCTGGGTTCAAGCGATTCTCCTGCCTCAGCCACCCGTGTAGCTGGGATTACAAGTGTGCGCTACCACGCCCAGCTAATTTTTGTATTTTTAGTAAACAAACAGGGTTTCACTGTGTTGACCAGGCTGGTCTCAAACTCCTGACATTCACCTGCCTCAGCCAACCAAAGTGCTGGGAGATTATAGGCATAAGCCATCACACCCGGCAAAGAACTACTTTTTAAAAATTATTATTTTTTAAAACATATAAGAAGAAGATCCATCCTGGATTTTCTTTTCTCTTTTCTTCTTTTTTTTCTGAGACAGAGTCTTGCTCTGTTGCCCAGGCTGGAGTGCAATGGTATGATCTCAGCTCACTGCAACCTCCACCTCCCACATCAAACAATTCTTCTGCCTCAGCCTCCTGAGTACCTGGGACTACAGGTGTGTGCCACCATGCCTGGCTTATTTTTGTATTTTTAGTACAGATGGGGTTTCACCACATTGGTGAGGCTGGTCTTGAACTCCTGACCTCATGATCCGCCTTCTTCAGCCTCCCAAAGTGCTGGGATTACAGGCATGAGCCACCACCCCCTAGCCCATCCTGGATTTTCTAATTTTAGTTTAAAATTTAAGTTTATGATTATGCTATAATTATTTTTATAGCATTAACAAGCCAATCTCATTGAAGTTCAAACCACCAGGTTAAATGAAAAGAATCCACAATGCTGAAAGGCTTACACAGACATTAAAGAAAATACAAGAAAACCACTTACCATAAGTGATCAACAGAAGAACAAAAGGAATGTTTTTAAACAGGTTTCTTATTGAATTCTTATAGGAGTATTCTTCAGGGGGACTGTCTTGAAGAGCTGCTTGAGCCTGACTTGGTGGATACTGCGGTTTTTCTTTGAAGGCTGAGAACATACATGAAAAGGATTATGTATATTTAATATATACACAATATGTAATTAATTATATGTATCTTTCTCAGTGAGCAGACAGAATTCAGTTTAAGTTTAAAAAGGTAGTTTAAGTCTTTTATGGTGAGGGTTTTTATTTTCACCGATTTCTAAGTGAAGAATAGTTTAACGTCCCTCATCTCAGTTCTCTGAAACTGACTAAAACTCAGAGATATGGCCAATTCACATAAGTGAACCGCAAAACCATCAACGATATGCCACAACCCTGCCTACTGATTATTCTATTTTTACCTAAGAAAGATTTAATTTTTACTACATCAAATATTCAACAATTCTATTTTTAAATTTAGTTCAATTTGTAATTAGAGATAAACATGAAGGCTGGGCACAATGGCTCATGCCTATAATTCCAGCTCTTTGGGAGGATGAAGGGGTAAAAACTCTTGAGCCTGGGAGGTCAAGGTTGCAGTGAGCTGTGATTGCGCCATTGCACTCCAGCCTAGGCGACAGAGCAAGACCTTTTCTCAAAAAAAAAAAAAAAAGAAGGAAAATAAAAAATTATCAGGTATGAGGAACCCAATATACTACTGAACTTTAAGAGGACTTGAGTTAGTAACCATTTTCTTCTTAAGTTTGATATAAAGTTTATCATCTTATCCAATTACACCTCTGGGGCTAAAAAAAATCCAGGTGGATTCATGGAAGCAGACCTAGGTCTTGCTAACTCACTTGAGCTGCATATGGAAAGTACAGGGGTAGAGCTAAGAGACTTAAAAGTGTAGTATATGATATCTGATACTCTAAGTTTTAGCACTGTCCATTTCTAGTTAGAAATTTCATAGCCATTCCAGGCAGACATCTAGAGACCACCTTTTTGATGTGCAGGAAAGGATCTACCAACTTTCCACAAAAGATGGCTAGAGAGATTTCTTTAGGGTTAGGCTAATCAGAAGTCAAGACTAATTCATAGGCCACCAATTCACAGGCCAGCAATTCTGTAATTCCAGCACTTTGGGAGGTCAAAGTGGGAGGATCACTTGAATGAGACTGTCTCTAGAAAAAAAATGTTTTAACTAGCTGGGTATGGCGGCATGCACCTGTAATCCTAGCTACTTGTGAGGCTGAACTGAGAAGATTGCTTCAGGATCGCTTCACAGAGCCCAGAAGCAAAGGCTGCAGTGACCTATGGTCACACTACTACACTCTTGAACTCCCCACCTCAGGTGATCCGCCCGCTTTGGCCTCCAAAGTGCTTGGATTACAGGCGTGAGCCACCACACCTGGCCCGACACACTACTGCACTCTAGCCTAGGTGATAAAGCAAGATCTTATCTGTAAATAACAAACAAAAAAACTATTTATGAAAGGACTAAACTGCTAAAATACGGCACAGCAGAAATTAAAATCTAATCTTTGTATTGATTCAAAACTTTCAACTGTTTCAAAATTGTTAACTCCAATAGAAGGAAAATATTGTACTTCATTCAGTCTAAGATCCTCTAATGCTTGCAGTCAATGATCTTGCCAGGTATCAACAGGTCTTTACCTAACCAGGTCTCAATTACCACAAATGTTAGATGCCATTGATTATTAAAGGCATCATTTCAGAGATTTAATGAAAAAGTAATATTTCAGGATTGATACAACAGGGTAAATTCAAAAAGAAAAAAGAAGCCTGTAATCCCAGAACTTTGGGAGGCCAAAGTGGGTGGATCATTTGCGATCAGGAGTTCGAGACCAGCCTGAACACCACGGTAAAACCCTGTCTCTACAAAAAAATACAAAAATTAGCTGGACATTGATGGTGGCACATGCCTGTAGTCCCAGCTAATAGGAAGGCTGAGACAATAATTGCCTGAACCCAGGAGGCAGAGGTTGCAATGAGCTGAGATTGTGCCACTGCACTCCACCCTGGGCAATGGAGTGGGACTGTCTCAAAAAAAAAAAAAAAACAAAAAAAAAAAAAAAGAAAAATGAAGGTAAATGGATTCAGAAAATAATATTGTTTAGGACTCTTTTTAGAAATTAGGATTTCTCTGCCATCCTTAGCCAGACAGCAAACAAGAAAAAACATTTTTTAATAGAAATTAGGATTTCTTCTTTGCTGTTGTTGTTGCCTGTTTGTTTTTTAAATTAGCTATTTCTTTCTTCCAACAAGGAAGACCAGCTTTGTAGTTTGAAAGAGGGTTAGATCTGATGGATTTATCAACTGGAATCATTTGGAAAATTTAAAATAATAGATTTTGAGACTCTACCCAAGGCTCAATGAATCAGAAACTCCAGATGCAGCCAGAGAAACTGTTTTAAACACAAAACTCCCCAAATGCTTTTGAAAACCAGCCAGGGAGAAACAATCACTGGGAAAGTAAGAAATGACCCTTCAAATTTCCATGAAGTTCTGTAATTCTCTAATTTTCCTGTTTGCTGCTAAAATTTTTTTAAATTAAAGTTCACTGCTGACCAAAACATTAACTGTGATATAACTAAAACTTATCAAACTAAAATATACTTCTATTTTTACAGATCTCACAACTAATTAAAGACGAGATATAACTCATAAATATTTACTTTTTAATATCCTTACATTGGAAGACTGGTACACATAAAAGGTTTAAGTTGCAAATCCTCCTCTTCCTTTCATTCTATCTGCTCTTGTACTGTTAGGATGTCTGTTGTCCTTTCCTGAGTCTTTCTGTATCCTAATCAGACAGGAAATATCTCTTTTTACTAAGATTGGTAATGCAGAACTCACATAGCTATAAACAAAGTTTCAGAAAGTAAAAACTATGCTTACAAGGTAGTCATGGATATTTAATGAATCTTAAGTCTCTTACCATGGCAAAATAAGTCTAAATGGCCCAAATCTGAACTCAAATGCAAAAATGAAAATACTTCTGGCCGGGTACAGCGGCATAAGCCTGTAATCCCAGCATTTTGGGAGACCTGAGGTGGGAGGATGACCTGAGGTCAGGAGTTGGAGATCAGCCTGGCCAACATGACGAACCCTGCCTCTACTAAAAACACAAAAATTAGCCAGGTGTGGTGGATGCCTGTAATCAAGCTACTCAGGAGGCTGAGGCAGGAGAACTGCTTGAACCCAGGAGGCAACGGTTGCCGTGAGCTGAGGTCATGCCACTGTACTCCAGCCTGGGCAACAGAGTGAAACTGTCAATAAATAAATAAATGAAATAAATAAAAAGAAAGAAAGAAAAAAAAAGAATCTGTGTCTCAAAAAAAAAAAAAAAAAAAAAAAAAAAAAAAAAAAAAAAAAAAAAAAAAAAAAAAAAAAAAAAAAAAAAAAAAAAAAAAAAAAAAAAAAAAAAAAAAAAAAGAAAAGAAAATACTTCTTACCAGTCCTTAAATCCAATAGATTTATTTTTTAAATACAAGAGTTATCTTTTAGTTTCAGGGAGTCAAACTATCTTTTGGCAAAAATCAATCCTGTATTTACTAACTACATGTTGTAGTAAAGTTGGACTTAAGTCTCTTTGAAGAAAGAGGAACAAAAAGCCATGGACCTATAACCTTGTTTATTCCTAAATGCCACTTTCAAAGAATGAAATATGGGTTTTTCTTTTGAAACAGAAAAATAACAGCATTCTACTGTTTTCTCTTCTCCCAACCAAAAATTTGCACCAATAAAACAACTGATTATTTGAAGCAGTTATTCTCCATTTCTGCAATTAGTCATAAAAAGCAGCCAAAATATTCTTGAGCAACACACTCAAACTTTTCCTCCTATAATGAATACATAGCAAGTCGACTGCTGTTTAGGATCACTTTTACTTTTTAAAATCAGATTTTAACATTTAAAAAATTTCATTATTTGTCCCTGTGTGATTCAGGCATATATTACATATATTACATTATTATAAGAAATAAATGTTTAAACCCTGGCTCTGCCTCAGCTCATTGTATGACTTTGAGGAAGTAAATTCCTGTTCCCCACCTTTGTAGCTTTCTCATTCATAAAATGGAAGTAACAATGGAGGATTACATGATACAATATATGTAAAATAATTCTGTAATTATCAAGTGCAACACAAAATATATTGCCTTTTTTGAGGAATATTTATTTTAAAAAATCAGAGATTGCCTCAGGAACTTGAAATTCTTACAGACTAAGTTAAATGTATTTCTGTTAAAAGTTTGCAGCCGACATATAGATACATTGAATTAAGAATCAAGTGATGGTGCATGCCTGTAATCCCAGCTACTCAGGAGGCTGAGGCAGGAGAATCACTTAAACCTGGGAGGCGGATGTTGCAGTGAGCTGAGATCGCGCCGTTGCACTCCAGCCTGGGCAACAAGAGCAAAACTCCGTCTCAAAAATAAAAAGGAATCATAAGCAGCTGGGCGAGGTGGCTCATGCCTGTAATCCCAGTACTTTGGGAGACCGAGGCAGGTGGATCACCTGAGGTCAGGAGTTCAAGACCAGCCTGACCAACATGGAGAAACCCCGTCTCTACTAAAAATACAAAATTAGCCAGGTATGGTGTTGTATACCTATAATTCCAGCTACTTGTGAGGCTGAAGCAGGAGAATCCCTTGAACCTGGGAGGCAGAGGTTGCGGTGAGCTAAGATCACGCCAATGCACTCCAGCCTGGGCAACAGGAGCAAGACTCCGTCTCAAAAAAAAAAAAAAAAAATCAAAAACAGCTGGGCATAGTGGCTCATGCCTGTAATCCCAGCACTTTGGGAGTCCAAGGCAGGCTAGGAGCAGCCTGGACAGCATGGTGAAACCCTGTCTACAAAAAATATAAAAATTAGCTGGGCATGGTGGCACACACCTGTAGTCCTAGCTACTCAGAGGACTGAGGTAGTTAGATTGCTTGAGCCTGGCCAGGAGGTCGATGGTGCAGTGAGCTGAAATCATGCCACTGCACTCCAGTCTGGGTGACAGAGCAAGACATCATTTCTTAAAAAAGAATCAAAAGTAAAATTATGCACACATGTTATACACTTACGTGTTTAAGTACATTAAACACCTTCCTCATAGAGTAATGAGGAGTAAATGAGAAACAGCATGTAATAGGCTGTAATAAGCCTCCAAACATGTTTGGCACATACCAACAAACCAAATGTTTGAGGCTATATTAGAGTTATCCTAATAGGAATCAGGAATTATTGTGAATTTCAGTGGAAGGCTTGGGTTAATTCCTCGACACTAGATGGCTTATACTCAATATAAGCTCCATGAGGGAGAGGAACAGAGTTACTTGGCATGAACCTTTGAGACAATATTTTAAGTAGACTGCTGAGAATCAGTTTAGTAGATGTTACATTGTTGAAAAAATTAAATTATTTTATAAGAATTTGGTGGGACTTCCAAAGTAACTATGGGTAGAATTTAGAATGAAGTAAAATCACCTTTTAGTAATTAAGAAACTTAAAATTGGTAAGAATTTTGTAAATAATCCCAATTTCCTCAATAGCAAATATTTGGGAATGACAGAAACAAGTACATGTTCTATTTAAATGTCACCATTTTCAACTTAAGACTTTCAGATCACAACTGTGTATTATCTTGCTTTTATAATATGTTTGGGATCATAAAATTAGAGTCTTCCAAGCAAACGTTGACAAAGTCCCCTTTTTTCAATGCCATTTTTCCCATTATTTTCCCCTCATTTCTGTTTCCACTCTCTACCTGTAAGCCATGAGTACATAATTAGTTAAGTACATAATTAGCCCTCTCTTTTGATATGTCAAATAACAAAGGGTAATATGCCAATAGTCACACCTATTATCATCATTCTTTGTCTGCCTCCTTCAACAAATAAAAATCTTATATTTGTAGCAGTTTAAACATATACATTATCACATGTATAATTTTGTGATATCTTATATGCAATCTCTTACTCTCTCACTTCTTCCTGAGACAGCAATTAAGAAGATTTAAAAAAAAAAAAAAGGAAAACCAGAATTTATGTGACGATACAAAAGCAATCAAAAGAGAACTTTGGCTAGGTGCCGTGGCTGACACCTATAATCCCAGCGCTTTGGGAGGCTGAGGCAGGCGGACCATGTGAGGTCAGGAGTTCGGGACCAAACTGGCCAACGTGGTAAAACCCCATCTCTAATAAAAACACACAAAAAAAGCCAGGCTCAGTGATTCATGCCCGTAATCCCGGCACTTTGGGAGGCTGAGGCGGGTGGATCATTTGGGGTTAGGAGTTCGAGACCAGCCTGGCTAACATGGTAAAACCTCAACTCTACTAAAAATACAAAAATTAGGGGGGCATGGTGGCACATGCCTATAATCTCAGCTACTTAGGAGGCTGAGACACAAGAATTGCTTGAACTCGGGAGGCACAGATTACAGTGAGTTGAGGTTGCGCCACTGCACTCCAACCTGGGTGACAGAGGCTCACTATGTCTCAAAAACAAAAACAAACAAAAAATTAGTCAGGTGTAGTGGCAACACCTGTAATCCCAGCTACTCAGGAGGCTGAGGCACGAGAACTGCTTGAACCCAGGAGGCTGTGATTGCAGTGAGCCCAGATAGTGCCACTGCCCTCCAGCCTAGGTGACAGAGCAAGACTCTGTCTTGGAAAAAAAAAAAAAAGAAAGAGAATTTTATATTTAAAAATCCCTTCTCTAGAGTTGTGGCCAAAAGTAAAAAAAAAAAAAAAAAAATCCCTATTGCTGGCCGGGCACAGTGGCTCATGCCTATAATCCCAGCACTTTGGGAAGCTGAGGCAGGTGGCTCATTTGAGGTCAGGAGTTCTATACCAGCCTGATCAACACGGTAAGACCCTGTCTCTACTGAAAATACAAATTAGCTGGGCATGGTGGCACATGCCTATAATCCCAGCTACTCAGGAGGCTGGGGCAGGAGAATCACTTGAACCTGGGAGTTAGAGATTTCAATGAGCTGAGATCATGCCACTGCACTCCAGCCTGGGTAACAGCACAAGACACTG